ACTGTTAATGCCATTACTGTAACAAACAGAACTGCAGCTGTTGAGGGGAAGGAGCATACTTGGCTGTGCTCAAGGCTTACTCCTGGCTCTGTGCTCAGGAATTACTCCTGACACTCTCGGGGACCATATGGAGTACTGGGGATTGAACCCAGATTGGCCATGGGCTAGGCAGGTACCCTGCCTGTTGTACTATCTTGTGCCCCATGTTGTTTTTGGTTCTCTAGAAAACTTTTTGTTTGGGCCACACCCAGTAGAGCTTATGGTTCATTCTTGACTCTGCGTTCAGGGAACACTCTTGGCAGGGCTCAGGGGACCATATATGGTGCCAGGAGTAGAACCTGTTCAGCCACATGCAAGGCAAATGCCCTACCCCTTGTAACTCTCTCTGGCCCTCATTAGCTTCTTTATGAAATTGTAAAGAACATATGAACACACAAGTGAAATACTTAAAATACTTAATAAATTACAGAAGTTGGAATAAAAACTGGAATGAGTGCCTTCAGCAAGCAGAGTCCTCAGGTACAAGGAAACCACTGTACAGAAATAGAACTTCAGGAACCCAGTCGGAAGCCAGAGAGATAGTATAGGGGTCAGAGGCACATAACTGACCTCAGTTTGATCCCCAGCAACACATAAGCCCCAAGACACTGGGCATCATAGGTCTCAAGCAGCACCACGTCCTCTGACTCTTGCATTTAACCGTTCAGCCTCTGGGCTCCCTGATCACACTTAGGAACCTACCTCTCAGAATCCAATCAGAAGGAATACTCAGAGCAAGGGAGGAAGTGTTTCAGGAAAGAAAGGAGAGAAATACTAATGTCACCAACAAGTGGAAATTGTGGCAAGACCTGTGAGATACCTCAAGCCTACTCAGAAGGAAAGGTCCTAGAGCAGGTCATGTTGTTGAAATCATTGATGAGCAGAATTATAAAGTGTGAAGAATTAAAATTATAGCTTATTGATGACTAAGGCTGATGACTAGACAAAACAGCTCTTAAACTTTGATCTAGAAGAATCTGACTTCATTGTAGATTATGCAAATTATAAGAAATACTGAGAAAACACAGGGAATAAAGACTGTGGAGTTAATGAAGCTGTTATAGGAATGAAAGAATACTGGGGTATGATGTTGGGACATTCAGCTACTCTGCACATTTGAAAACCCCCAAAATCCTAAATCATCCACCCTTACCCTGAGGAACAGGGTTCTGGAAAACTATCTCCTGAGAATCAGGTATGCTGGCATTTAGGTCTTTAGGACTAGGAGAAGCTTATTTTATTACTGAACTCTCCTCACAAATTCAAGGCAAAGAATTCTGCAACTTTATTTAGTGTCAGCAATTATGAAGTGGTTCCATTTAAGAAGAGGTACTGACTCAGTTCACTGACTTTGGCAATTGCAAACCCCAGTGTAATCAATAGCCCAAGAAGAGAACATTTCCACCACCTCTGAAGGTTTCTACATGTTCTTTTCCAGTTGATCTAGCAATCTGCCAATTCACCTCCCCCAACAGCTGCGGCTCTTATGATAATTTTTATTCACCAGAACTTATTTTAACTGTTTTGGAAACTCAAGTAAAATTTTATTATTTTTAATTGAATTACCGTGGGATTCCGTTACAAATGTTTTGTGATCGGGCTTCATACAATGTTCCAATACCCATCCCTTCACCAGTGTACATCCCTCCACCAATATCCCCCTATATCCCTCTTGCCACGCTCCCCGCCCTCACCCATCATCCTGTCTATGCAGGCACTTTTCTTCTGTCTTAAGTATGTTCTCTTTCATAGTTAGCATTTTTTGCTCACTAAAATTTCAAAACTTATCTTGCATGTCAGCAGTTTTATTATTTGCTTTTCTTTTTGGCTTTGGGCCAAAGCTGTGCCAGGGCTTACTCCTGGCTCTGTGATCAGGAATCACTCCTGGCAGTGCTCAGGGGACCATATGGAGTTTTGGGGATTGAACCTAGGTCAGCTGCATTCAAGGCAAGCACCCTACCACCTGTAATCTCCCTCTAAACCCTCATCTTATTTCTGGGTAGTACACTGTATGAACATACGATTTTGCTTTCATTTTACTCTTGATACCCTGCTATCCAGGCCTGATGGTCAGTGCTAGGGCCCATTGACACTCCAGGGATGATGTGGAGCTGGGGATTGAATCCAGGACTTTGAACTCGGGACTTTTAAATAAGAGCTCAAGCCCTGCCTTTTCTTTTAATTGCTATTTTAGAGGCAAAAGCTTCCAATTTTGTTGAGTTACTTTTACTAATTGTGTGGGGAGGATCGCACTCAGTTGTGTTCCAGGGATTTTTGGTGCCTGCATTGGAACCCAGCCCTCCCACATACAGCACACGCACACCAGCTTTTTGGAGTATTTTCCTGGGTGGAAGTATCTTGTGTTTTGTTCTTTTTTTTTCTTTCTTTCTTTTTTTTTTTTTTAAATTTCTGAAGCATCTGAGAGACACTACAGAGTTGTAGGCCCAGCACCCTGCTGAGCTTAATTAAGGTATCTTCTCTCCTGTGTTTTCAGTAGATTATTTAGGTACTGGAAAAAAAAGGAAAAAATTTGAGGTAGTAGTCTGTATTAACCACCTATTCAAGTTATACTGAAGATTTCATTTATTGGGTTATGATATCATGATAAACTAGCAGTAGGAGTTTAATTTAAAAAAATTTTTTTTGGTTTGTTTTATGGGTCACACCCAGCAATGCTCAGGGGTTACCCCTGGATCTGCACTCATGAATTACTCCTGGAGGTGGTCAGGGGACCATAGGGATGCCAGGGATTAAACCCAGGTTGGCCTGCAAGGCAAATGCCCTATCCAGCCCGATTTTTCAAAAATGTTTTTTTATGCTCAAACCCCAGAGGGCACCAAGCCTGGAGCCCAGAATTGCAAGACATAGGCCCTAAATGAGGGGTAGGGGATCGTGAAACAACCAAAAACACCAGCCTATCTTTTAAGTACTTGATTTTGAATATTTGCCTAAAATAATGTTGATTATTTTATATGCAAATGTGTTACATATATGCAACACATTTGGAAAGCAAAGATTGTTTTATATTAATACCAGGAAAATCAAGGCATATATAAATACTGAGTTCTTGAAAGTTGCTTTTGTACAGGTTATTAAAATCTTTTCCTTTAAAACGTTCCTTAAAACTCCATAAAGACATTCCAAAGACATGCGTTTATCTGTGGAAAGGGAGTTTGAAAACATTCATAGTAACAACTTAATGGAAAGGGTGCTGGAGCAATAGCACAGTGGGTAGGGCGTTTGCTTTGCACGCAGCCAACCCGGGTTTGATTCCCAGCATCCCCTATGGTCCCCTGAGCACTGCCAGGGGTGATTCCTGAGTGCAGAGCCAGGAGTTACCTCTAAGCATCGCTGGGTGTGACCCAAAAAGCAAAACAACAACAATAATACCTTAATGGAAATAATCTTGCTTCCCAGCAGACGAAGTGGTGACTCAGTGAGATGCCAGTGGTCCACTGATATGCCTGATTTGAGGCTATTTATAAGTGTTGTTCTCTAGGACGTCGCTTTTGTCTAACCCATTTGATGAACCTCCAGATATGGTTTAGTAATGAAAATATTGTAATGTACCCTACAGTTTCTTTCAAAAGAAGCGACATTCATGAAATTTACATACAAGTGGTACAATATGGAAAGTATCATGCTAAGCGAAATGAGTCAGAAAGAGAGGGATAGACATAGAAAGATTGCATTCATCTGGGGGATATAAAGTAACAAAGTATGAGATTAATACCCAAGAATAGCTGAGATCAGCACCAGGAGGATTACTCCATAACTTAGAGGCCAGCCGGGTATCCTAGAGGAAAGGGCTATTCAGATAGAGAAGGGAGCACCAAATAAAGGATGTTTGGAGGATCCTCCCAGGAGGGGAGATGCATGTCGAAAGTAGACTATGGACTGAACATGTTTGCCACTCAATGCCTCTTTTGCAGACCACAACACCCAAAAGGAGAGAGAGAACACAGGGGATTGCCCTGCCACAGAGACGGGGGGATGGGGGGATGGGGGTGGGAGGGATATTATCCATGGTGGTGGAAAATGGGCACTGGTGGAGGGATGGGTATCTGATCATTGTATAATTGAAACCAAAGCACAAAAAATTGTAAACCTACAACTTTAAAAAAAATAAAATAAAATAAAGGGGAAAAAAAAAAAAAAAGAAGCGACATTAAAAACCAGGAGGATCTGTTTGCGGAAAATCGTTAATGTTTCAAATTAGTGAGTGTCCCGCTTCACACGAAGAATAAAAACTAACAATGCATCATTGTCTCAGACGGTGTAAGCACTGGATCATTATTCCAGTCATCAAGTACTTAGGGAAGCAAGCTCAAGTCCAAAGTCATTTACTTCATTCCCTTCTTTCACAATCCCAAGAATACTGTTGTCCCCAAGATACAAGGAGGGAAACTTCTGGGGCAATTCACACAAGCCAGGCCTCCTAAATCCCGAGCTCTACTTCCGACTTCAAAGTCAAGGGGGCTACCAGCATCCAGAGAGAAAGAAGGCTTTCTAACTGTGCGCACTGAATGATCCGGCTCCCCTCGCACCCCCCCCCCCCCCCCGCCCGCAAAGAAACCCCGCGATACTAGCCAAACTACGACTCCCAGGATGCAAAGCGCCCGCGGGCTGCCGGCCAATAGCCGTGCGTCTTGGGGGGCCCGGCATGCCTTGCGGCGCGAAAGGTCTCCAGGGAGCTGTGGTTCTGGTCGTCTACTGGTCTTGCCAGCGCGGCATTGGCGGCTGTGTCGGCCCCAGCCAGCGGTTTCCTTGCGGGGCGAGTGGAGGTTGCGAAAGGGCGCGGAACTGAAACGGGGGTGAGTCAGACACTTACGCGATAAAGGGAGGCGGCACTGCGGCGACGGGACCCAAGTTCGTAAGTGCGGCCCCTGCTGGAAGCTGAGTCGGGGCACCGCGCTCTCGGTGCCCGCGAAAGGAGGCTCACGGGGAGCTGGAGCCCCGCTCCTTGCACCTGTTCTCGGCCTCCGCCGCCGCCATCGCCGCCATGCAGTCCCGGGAAGAGGCTCCGCGCTCGCGCCGCCTCGCCAGCCCCCGCGGCGGGAGGCGGCCCAAAAGAATTTCCAAGCCGTCGGTGTCGGCTTTTTTCACCGGCCCGGAGGAACTGAAGGACTCGGCGCACTCGGCCGCCCTGCTGGCCCAGCTCAAGTCCTTCTACGATGCGCGGCTGCTCTGCGATGTGACCATCGAGGTGGTGATGCCTGGCAGCGGGCCGGGCACGGGGCGCCTCTTCTCCTGCAACCGCAACGTGCTGGCCGCCGCCTGCCCCTACTTCAAGAGCATGTTCACGGGCGGCATGTACGAGAGCCAGCAGACGAGCATCACCATGCACGACGTGGACGCCGAGTCTTTCGAGGTGCTGGTGGACTACTGCTACACGGGCCGGGTGCTGCTGAGCGAGGCCAACGTGCAGCGCCTGTACGCCGCCTCCGACATGCTGCAGCTTGAGTACGTGCGCGAAGCCTGCGCCTCTTTCCTGGCCCGCCGCCTGGACCTGAGCAACTGCACGGCCATCCTCAAGTTCGCCGACGCCTTTGACCATCACAAGCTGCGCTCGCAGGCCCAGGCCTTTATCGCCCACAACTTCAAGCAGCTGAGCCGAATGGGATCGATCCGGGAAGAGAGCCTGGCCGACCTGACCCTGTCCCAGATGCTCACCGTCCTGCGCCTGGACGGCCTGGACATTGAGAGCGAACGGACAGTGTGCCACGTGGCGGTGCAGTGGTTAGAGGCTGCCCCCAAGGAGCGTGGGCCCAGCGCCGCCGAGGTCTTCAAGTGCGTCCGCTGGACTCACTTCACCGACCAGGACCAGGATTACCTGGAAGGACTGTTGACCAACACCATTGTGAAGAAGTACTGCCTCGACCTCATTGAAGGGGCCCTGCAGATGCGGTATGGGGACATTCTGTACAAGGCTTTGAAGCCTGAGACCAGTAGCAGCAGCAGCAGCAGCAGCAGCAGCAGCAGCAGCAGCAGCAGCTCCGTTGTACCTGCCGTGGAAATCCCGCCCCAGAGACTCGGGGTGTGTGCCAAAAAGATGGTGATCTTCTTCGGACATCCCAGAGATCCGTTTCTCTGTTATGACCCTTATTCAGGGGACATTTACACAATGCCCTCACCTCTGACCACCTTGGCCCACACTAAGACCATTACCTCCTCTGCGGTCTGTGTATCTCCGGACCATGACATCTACCTTGCTGCCCAGCCCAGGAAAGACCTGTGGGTGTATAAGCCAGCCCAGAACAGTTGGCACCAGCTGGCTGACCGCTTGCTCTGCCGGGAGGGCATGGATGTGGCCTACCTCAATGGCTACATTTACATCTTGGGTGGACGAGACCCCATTACTGGAGTTAGACTGAAGGAAGTGGAGTGCTACAGTGTCCAGAGGAACCAGTGGGCACTGGTGGCCCCTGTACCCCATTCCTTCTATTCCTTTGAACTAATAGTGGTTCAGAACTATCTGTATGCTGTCAACAGTAAGCGCATGCTTTGCTATGATCCAAGTCATAATATGTGGCTCAACTGTGCTTCTCTTAAACGTAGTGACTTTCAGGAAGCCTGTGTCTTCAATGATGAGATCTATTGTATCTGTGACATCCCTGTCATGAAGGTCTACAATCCAGCCAGGGGAGAATGGAGGCAGATTAGTAATATTCCCTTGGACTCAGTGACTCACAACTACCAGATTGTTAACCATGGCCAAAAGTTGCTGCTCATCACTTCTACTACTGCACAGTGGAAAAAAAACCGGGTCACAGTTTATGAATATGATACTCGGGAAGACCAGTGGATCAATATAGGTACCATGTTAGGACTTTTGCACTTTGACTCTGGCTTTATTTGCCTCTGTGCTCGTGTTTATCCCTCCTGCCTTGAACCTGGCCAGAGTTTTCTCACTGAAGAAGATGATGCTCGGAGTGAGTCTAGTACTGAATTGGATTTAGATGGACTCAGCGATCTGGACTCTGAGTCAGGAAGTTCAAGTTCATTTTCTGATGACGAAGTCTGGGTGCAGGTTGTACCTCAGCGAAGTGCACAGGATCAGCGGGGTTCTTTGTAAATATTTTGAAACACTAAGATGTTACTACTGTTATGGAATATATCTTTTAAAAATATTCTTTTTTCATGAAAATAAAAGTAGATTAGGACCACTGATTTGGTTTAGAAACGTAAAAAGAATTACTAATATTACAAAATTTTAAACAGCACAAAATCAACTTGTTTATTGTTGTACTAAAAGTTTGGGGTTGAAATATACAAAAATGAGCTATATAATTTGTTAGGATGCTTGGTCATTTTTTCACTGTTAAAGTACTCAGTGCACTTGTGGATTGTTTTGCTTAGTTACTGTGTGTTTATCTTTTGATTAATTTAGATTTCTGTTCACTTTTAAAATTCTATTTAGTGCTGCAAAGAATATAATTTTTAAGTAGAAATTGTTGGTAGAGCTTTGAAAGGCCTCTTTTTTTCTTTCAGAATAATGAAAGTAGTACATACCCCCAATTTTATATTATTTCTTGGCAGTCTAAGTTAATACAGCTTAGCATTTGGTTTAGTTTTCTTCCCTCTGCTAAGAAAAGAAAAAGGACTATATTAGAACTGGAAAAATACATTCACTTGCCTTGCATGCAGTGAACCCGAGCTGGATATCTGGCACCACATGGTCTCCCAAGCTTCTTGTCAAAAACCTACACCCCTCGAAAAAGGGGTATATATAGAAAGAGGTTATTGAATGATGATTTTAATTTAATAATGTATAGAATGGTCTTAAAAGCTCACAGAATGTAAAAATCAGGATTTCCCTATTTCAAAAAAAGTAGTTTGTTTTATTTAAACCCTCTAAACACCACTTCTCATCCCTGCAAATAAGTAACATTTCTTTTTTTTTTCTTTTTTTCTTTGGTTTTTGGGTCACACCTGGCAATGCTTAGGGGTTATTTCTGGCTTTGCACTCAGGTATTGCCATTGTCAGTGTCGGAACCTTGTGGATGCTGAGGATCAAACCGGGTAGGCTACGTGCAAAGCAAACGTCCTACCCACTGTATTATCCATCCAGCCCCACATTTCATAGATTCATATCTTTCATCTGTATCTTTCATTTGAATCAGCGGAACAGTCATTTTTGTCATTGGACATATGGCTGGGCGGTGTTAAGATTTCAATCTATTGGTTATGCCTTATTTTAAAAAGAGTATATAGTTAAAATATTTTAGCTGTATCATTTTGGTGTTCATCTTAGATTTTTTAGCAGGAAGTGATTTATTCTTTATTGGTTTTGTGAAATACTATAGGTTTTGAAATATATATAAAGTTTTACTAAGATCAGTAATATGTCATCAGCTATAAAATTAAATGCCAGAAGTGAAAATATTAAAACTTTAAGCTGTGTGTAGAACTCTTTTGTGTGGGACTGACTATTGTCAGTTTTATAAGTCACCGTAAATAATTATTAGCTCAAAGATTTTTTTTATTAAAAATTGACAAAGAATAAAAAAGGATGATGGCATTTGGGGTCAATAGTGAAGGAATGTTTCCTCTACAGTATTTCCCTAAGCAGTGGTATACTATACATGGTTATTTTATTATGTCACTTGTGCATACTTTGTGTATTTCTCTCTAAACCATGTGTCCAGAAATAGAGAGTAAATTGCACAAACATTGTTAAATACTGGGAAATGTAAGTACATACCTTTTGAGGAACAGACACATGTGGTTGTTAGAATATAAGCAAATGGTAAATGGTGATATTTGTTTAGGTAGAATTTTTTTTCTGTACAATTATTTACAATTATCTCCTTGAATCTTTGGTCAGTAATTTGTTAATCCTTCCTCTTATGTTTATATTCTAGCAATCAAATGCTAACATTTCTTATACTCAAGAATACTGCTGATAAGTGTGTTAAGAGATGAGGGACTGAAATTTTTTCCCTCCCTTTTTTTTTTTGGTGGGGGGACGAGTCTTGGGGATCTCAGGGCCTCACAAATCCAAGTGAGCTACCACTAAACTAGCTCCAGCCCTAGGAAGTAAATTTTGAACATAAAAGGAGTGAGGAAGAAAGAAAAGGATTATAAATTCTGTTTTCTTAGCATTTGGACTGACCATTAAAAGCGTGCACTGCACATTCCTTTTTAACATTATTCCTAGTGAAATTAAGATTCTTCCTGTAGAGCACTAAGTGTTCTTCTAAAGGGCAAACAAGCTTTAGTGGCCCAAGGCTAATTTTTGTTCCATTTGATGTCAGGGACATTTTAAGCACTGCTCAAATACAAAACTATTTCTTTATAGTATTGTTGGGGATTTTTTGGCCAACTCTCTTTACCAATAAATTTCTTGTTGATAGCTTTTTGTTTTGTATGGTTGAAATGACAATGCTGATCTCAGATTATTCATCTGTATAAATAAGATATTCAACCGGTTTATAAAAGAAACTTACTTCCAAGTTGTTACTTCTCAACCTTTGAGTTTGGTATAAGCTAAATAGAAGTAACTTTAAGAGCTATATTGAGGATTTTGATTTTGTGATATATTTGTGAATTATTATTTTATAGATGTGATTTGTATATGGTTAATTACAAATAAAAGAGACACTAGAACGCAAGCCTTCCTGACCTGTTACTTTAGTGTTTCTGATAAATGTATAGAACTTGTGAGTGACACAACTAGGATGTTTTAATTCCCTTTGACAGGAAAAAGCATCCTTGACTGTTTCATAATTAATCAACACACCTTTTAACAAACACTGTCTTTAGAAGGACTACCCTTCATTAGCTTAGAATGCTCTTTTATTCATTGTAAACCTATTATCTGAAAACGGGAAGAACTCAAATTATCTTCAAATGATAAATGACTGATATTTAAGAGGATATAAGAAAGATTAATAAATAACTTTAGTTTTGAGCAGTCCCAGGACAAGAAGAACAATTAACAAGAAAAATCCAGTTTTATTTGCAAGCCTTGAAGTAGTCAGGTTGGAGAAAAGTGAAACTACCAGGAATTTAAACAGGTCTTTCCCCCCTATGTCTCAGGTAAAAGCAGTTTAGCATGGCAGTTACATGGAACTCCTGACAATAATCCTCAAAATGACAAGGAATATCACTGCTAGCTATGGGATTCCTGGATCCTTGAGCCTCAAGTGCTAGTACCTCAAAGCACATACTTTGCATATGGAGAACAACCTCAAGCAACTACCTAGGAGTAACCCCTGAGTCCTTTGAGGTAAGTCCCCAAACCAAGGCAAAATGGAAAACAGCTCAAAATATATCAGCAACTATAAAATAGTAATAGAATAAACTCGTAGTAACACTAAGGTTTCCTAGGTGAACTCTTTTTCCCTCTCTCAATTTTTAAAATTCACGAATTCCTTCGTGTAGAATACTGAGGAAGAGAACACAGGGATGTGCCCGACTGGTAGAGTACCGACCTTGCAGGTATGGGATCGGGGTGTTCAATCCCTTGTACTGCCCCATATTACTGACTTTGACCTCAGTTCACTGCAACCAAGCATGCATAAGCACCACAATCAAGTGCACACCCTCAAACACTGCAACAACAAAGTGAAGGCAGAAGGAAAAATCAAATTCCAAATTCTATCACCTTAAACATAACAATGTAGTATTAATTTTTTAAAAACTCTGAGAAAAGATACTAAGGTTTATTTATCAGACTGTATGCTTAGACATGACCACTCAGTACTCAAAATGATTGCCAGAAATCCCAAAACCCCCATCCAACTTGGAAATCCTATATATTAGGCATTCAGCACTCCCATCCCTAGAATCCCTGGGGAAAACAAATTGAAAGTCCTAGAACTCCTAATAATCAAATCTGATCACCTCTAAAAGATGAAATTGTAGGGGATGGAAATGTTGAGGAAAACAGGGAAATAACCTCAACAAAGAAATTCTGAGTTCTCGGGGCCAGAGTGATAGTACAGTGGGTAGGGCATTTGCCTTGCATGCGGCCAACCTGGGTTCAATCCCCGGCATCACATATGGCCCCCCAAGCACCTCTAGGAGTAATTCCTGAGTGCAGAGCCAGGAGTAACCCCTGAGCATTGCTGGGTGTGACCCAAAAAGCAAAAAAAAAAAAAAAAAAAAGAGAGAAATACTGAGTTATCTTACTGTAGGAGAGGCTGGACAGTTAAGTTCCAAAGATGGAAATGATCAGGGTATCACATATTCTTAGATAATGTTTTATTCAACCTCATTACCTCATTTCATTATAATGATGAAAAAGAATACCCTCCAATGCTGAACAAAATCATGTTATTCAAGATCCTGTTTACAATAAGTAATTTCCCTTGAAATTTTCATTTTCAACATAAGGACTATAGTGAAAGGTCTTGGAAACTAGGGTGGTGATAAGGTACAATAATTCTACATCAAAACAATAACTTTTAAAAATTTTTATTAGTGAAATACCATGAGGCACAGTTGTAGACTTACAAATTTTTGTGCTTGGGTTTCAGTTACACAATGATTGAGTACCCATCCTTCCACCAGTGCCCATTCCCCACCTCCAATGCTCCCAGCTCCCCTCCCATCCCCCACCCCCTCATCCCACCTCACCTCTGGCATTCCCTTTTGTTCTCTCTCTCCTTTTTGGTGCTGTGGTTTGCAAAAGAGGCACTAAGTGGCAATCATGTTCAGTCTACAGTCTACTTTCAGCATGCATCTCTCATCCTGGGAGGATCCTCCCAATACCCTTTACTTGGTGCTCCCCTTTCTATCTGAGCTGCCTTCTCCCCCAGCATGTGCAGCTGTCCTCCAAGCCATGGAGTGAACCTCCTGGTACTTATCTCGGCTATTCTTGGGTGTTAGTCTCCCATTTCAAAACAATAACTCTTTAATATAATCATATTACCTGAAATAAAATAATTTTTCAAAATTGTTATTTTCAAAAACCTAAAGCAATGACTGGATATATTTTGATGTAATGATCCTAAATGTTAGGGAGACTTGTGAGGGGAACAAGTTGGTAATGCTGGTAATCATCAAATCTTGAAGACTATATACCATGTCAAGCAAGTAATTTTTGTATCCAGTTGACTACTGCATTGTGAATTTATTCATAAATTTTTGTTTATTTGGGGGCCACACCTGGGTGTTCAGGGCTCACTCCAAAGCTCTGTTCAGGGATCACTCGACCTGGCAGGTCTTGGGAGACCATACAGGATGTCAGGGATCAAATCCAGATCAGATGTGTGCAAGGCATGTGCCTAACCCACTGTATTATCTCACTGGGAATTTTTAAGTAAGAACTTTGACAAGAGTAGCTTTCCGGGCTCTCCGAGAGGGGCGGAGAAATCGAACCCAGCTCAGCTATGCGCAAGGCAAACAACCTACCACTGTGCTATCGCTGGAGCAGGAAAGAGAGAGAGAGAGAGAGAGAGAGAGAGCACTAAAACTCAGAGGGTTCTACTATTAAATAGATTAATGAACTATTATATTTAATATAGATGTGTCCGGGCTTTCTATATTAAATACAGAAAATTCACAACACTGGGGCTGGAGAGATAATACAGTGCATAAGGTGCTTCAATATCCAGTATCCCATAAGGTCCCTACAACAACACCAGGAGTGATTCTTGAGTGCAGATCCAGGATTAACCCCTAAGCATTGCTGGATGTAACCACCCCCACCAAAAATATTCAAAGCACCATAGAGGTTTTATTGCTATGATGGTCATTTCAAATCTCCCTAATTGTCCTTCCAAACAAAAGTTAAATTACACGTAATGCTGAATATTTTTTGAAGCAAGATAGTTTTTATTAAAGATTATTTAGAAAAATGTTAGAGGAAATATGTATTCAAGAGAGAACATGAACTTCAGAGTAGAAAAAACAAACAAAGATATAGAGCAAACAAGATACAAGCAAGCAAGATATGTGTTCAAGGGAGAAAATGAACTTGAAGTGCAAGCCTTCGTGTTTTTTGTACAAAGTGTACCTTGAAATGCCTGTAAATGCACACACACACACACACACACACACACACACACACACACACCACAACATCCTTGGCATTTAATTCAACTTGAAGGTTTTTTTAGAATTACAGAAATTAAGCTTCTATAGCTCCAGTATCCTCTTTTATTAAAAGAAAGAAGAGTGTGTACGGGACAGTGTGCACTCTTTGTCCCAGGTGACTGAATAGCGCTGTCCCTCAGTGAGTTTGAGAATATGGAAGTCAGCCCAGATTTAGAGACATTAGTAGAAGCATGTGATGTCTAGTATGACATCACTTTGGCCAATCTCTGATTTCAGTTGCAACTATGACAGACACTCAGACCACTTTATTCATTTGTTTTGTCTCAGAGTTTCTCTAAAGGATCATTCTCTGTGCTACGTACCTGCAGCCACAGCACAGGAGTTGGTGCTCCTTGAGCAATAAAGGATAAGTATCAGTAGATATATCTCTATGCCTTCTATATTTTTAAATATGGTTAATTTTGAAATGCAAGCTATACTGAGCATCTGAAAGTCCCCATCTGGGGAGAAGAGACAGGCAGGAACTTGTTCAAAGAAGAAATATAAATGGCAAAAAAAATATGAAAAATGCTCTATATCATTAATCATCAAGGAAATGCAAATCAAAGCAATGAGATACCACCTCTTACCATAAAGACTGGAACTTATGAAGAAGAACGAGTGTTGTCAAGGATGTAAAGGAAAAGGACTCTTATTCACTGCTGGTGGCAATGTTGATTGGTCCAGCCTTTTGCAAGACACTATGAATGGCTTCCATATGACCTTGCAATTCGAGATTACTGGATAAAGAAACTATGGAACATACACACAGAGGAACACTATGCAGCCTTAAAAAAAGATAAAGTCATGTAATTTGCTGCAATAGGAATGAATCTGAAGAGCATCATGTTGAGTAAAATCATCCGGAAGGAAAGGAACAGACTCAGAATCCTCTCTCTTATATGTGGGATATAAAGAAACCTCTTAGGGATGTATCAAATGCTCAATGGTAATAGAAATGTAGAGTAGGAGAATTGGTCTTCAGTAGAAGCTTGGTACTGGGAGATAAGTTAGGGAAGGGAAAACGAGGACAACGTGGAGATGGGGGAAAGTTCCTTCCATAAAAGCAGGCTGGGGAGTGCGAGGGAAACTGGAGACTTTGGTAGAGGGTAGTGTGAGCACTGGTGAAGGGATCGGTATTGGAACAATACATGCCTGAAACTCAATCATATATATCTTCGTAACTTTGAATTCAGTTTCTAAGTCCCCATTAGGATCAGACCCCAATCTTTCACAGCAGCAATGGACTCAACAACACATTTTTATTTTTCTCAGAGTATAGTCAACCATGTCACAAAACAAATATTTGATCTGGCAGTGAGACGGCCACTTTTTGAGTTGAATATCTGAACTATGGCTTGGGAGCAGAAACAATGTGGATTAAAATGAGTGAAATGAACCTTTAGTTAACCACAGGCAAAATATGGGTGTACTCAACCTATAGAGAGCACAGACAAAAATAAGGTCTTATGTTCCTCCCTGGAAATGGGGAAATAATAACCTGGAAATTGGGAGATAATATAACATATTTACAAGTCTCCTAAAATCCTTGAAAATATAAAG